GATGCTGGCCACATAAACAGGCTTGCGGGTTTGAACCCAGCCCAGGCCAGGTTGAAACGGTTACCAATGTAAATGGGAAGGTTTCCCATTAAAACTTGAATTTCTGATCTTGAATTTTCTTTCTTCTTTTTTTTCTTTGGAGACAGAGTTTCACTCTTAGCTCACAGCAACCTCAAACTCTTGGGCTTAAGCGATTCTCTTGCCTCAGCCTAGCTGGGACTACAGGCGCCTGCCACAACACCCGGCTATTTTTTGTTGCAGTTGCCATAGTTATTTTAGCTGGCCCAGGCTGGGTTTGAACCCACCAGCCTTGCTGTATGTTTCTTGTGCCGTAACCACTGTGCTATGGGTACAGAGCCCAAAATAAATTTTTTTAAACATTAGTCCTGGCTGGGTATAGTGGCTTACTCCTGCAATCCTATCACATTGAGAGGCCAAAAGCAGGAGGAATATTGGCCAGGTGTTGTGGTGTGTGCCTGTAGTTCCAACTTCTCAGGAGGCTGATACAATTCACCTGCCTTGGCCTCCCACAGTGCTAGGATTATATGCACGAGCCAGCACCCAGCCTGGTTTTTGTGAATGTTGATGTGGAACAAGTACCAAGATAGAAGTTAAGAGTTACAGAATAATTTCAGTGTACTACCATCTTTATTAAAAAATTGTGAGAAATGGGTTGCAGAGTATGTCTAAAAGACATTTGTAGTAAAGGATGAATGTGAAGGAGGCTTTTCACTATGCCTTTTCTACCTCTTAAATGTAAAAATTTAATCTAAAATATTTGGAAAGGGGCTTGGCGCCTGTGGCTCAAGTGGCTAAGGCTCCAGCCACATACACCTAAGGTGGCAGGTTTGAATCCAGCCCAGGCGCGCCAAACAACAATGATGGCTGCGACAAAAAAAAAAAAAAATAGCCAGGCATTGTTGTAGTGGGTACCTGTGGTCCCAGCTACTTGGGAGGCGGAGGCAGGAGACTTGCTTGAGCCCAGGAGTTGGAGGTTGTTGTGAGCTGTGATGCCACAGCACTCTACCCAAGGATACAGCTTGAAGCTCCATCTCAAAAAAAAAAAAAAAAAATCTTCAGTTCCAGCCGAGTGAGGTGGATCACACTTGTAATCCTAGCACTCTGGGAGGCTGAGATGGGTGGATTGCTTGAGCTCATGAGTTCAAAACCAGTCTGAGCAAAAGTAAGACCCTGTCTCTACTAAAAATAGAAAAACTGAGGCAGAAAGATTGCTTGAGCCCAAGAGTTTGAGGTTGTGAGTTATGACAGCATGGCACTCTACCCAGGGCAACAGCTGACACTCTGTCTCAAAAAACAAACAAACAAACAAACTTTAGTTCACAGTTTAAGGAAAAAAAAAAAATTCAACATTTAAGTTAGTTTCAGAGTTCAAAATATTACAAACCACTCCTGTCTAGAATTAAGCTAGGTTTACATAATTTCTTTTCCTTTTTTTTTTTTTCTTTTGGAGACAGTCTCACTCTGTCACCCTTGGTAGAGTGCTGTGGCATCATAGCTCATAGCAATCTCAAACTCTTTGGCTTAGGGTGATTCTCTTGCCTCAGCCTCCCAAGTAGCTAGGACTATAGGTGCCTGCCACAACGCCCAGCTATTTTGAGAGATGAGGTCTCCCTCTGGCTCAGACTGGTCCCAAACCTGTGAGCTCAGGTGATCCACCCACATAGGCCTCCCAAAGTATTAGGATTACAGACATGAGCCACCGTGTCCGGCTAGTTTAACATCATTTCTGTGAAAAGGAATATTCTAAGATGTTATTTTCCTATAGAGGGTAAGAAATATGGTTGGATCCAGTGGCTAACACAATCTTAGCACTCTGGCAGGGTGAGGCAGGCAAGTTGCTTGAGCTCAGGAGTTTGAGACCAGCCTGAGCAAGAGCAAGACCCCATCTCTCCCCCACCCCTCTCAAAAAAAGGAATAAATATGTTCAACAAATATTTGATGAATGAAAGGAATGAGATGAAGATATTCTGGAGAAAATAATTCATCAAATAAATATTTATTGTGCACATGTTATATGTTAGGCACTATGCTTAGTTTCAGACACACAGAATGTAAGACAGTATGAGTAACCTTCCACATTACAGTAATGTGATTCAAATGCCCAGAGCCAAATCTCACGGAAGAAGAAAATACATACACTGAACTTTTAGTTTTTTATTTTGATTCTGGCTGGACAAGGCATCTACATTCCAGAAAACCTTAACAATCACTAAGCAAGTAAAAGCCTACTTACTTATATATACAAAGACAAGAAGAAAGGGTCATGATTGTCTAACAGGGAACATAAGTTCCCAAATAAGTTATCTTACAAAAATATCACACTTGCTTTTCTTTTTCTACTACCAATAAAGAAAGAAAAGAAAGAAATTCACATTAAAACAATCTATAGGCTGGTATTGCAAGTTAAGATCATTATTTTTACATATTAAGTCCTTCAAATAAATATTTTATACAAATTTAAGTTTAAAAAAAATAGGTTAAGTATTTACCCTATATATTTTTTGTCAACTAAAAGACCACTTACGCAAACTGACATTAAACTAGCCCGTAGCTCATACCCTACAAATACTAACACACAGATAACTGAGGCTAGGAAGGTAATTGTGCATATTACATACCTGTGAAAGGGCTAACACTGCTGTGCACACTACTTCTATACATAGTTATACCCTGTAAATCCTCTAGCCTCTCTTGACTCAAACTGCAAGGAAAGAACAAAAAATAACACTTGCCTATTATAAATATTCATGGATTGGGTGCAGTGGCTCATACCTGCAATCCTAGCACTTTGGGAGGCCAAGGTGAAAGGATACCTTGAGGTCAGGATTTCAAGACAGCCAGAGCAATATAGTGAAATCCTATCTCTATAAAAATTTTAAAAATTAGGGTGGCACCTGTGGCTCAAAGGAGTAGGGTGCCAGCCCTATATACCAGAGGTGGCAGGTTCAAATCTGGCCCTGGCCAAAAACTGCAAAAAAAAAAAATTAGCCTGGTGTGGTGGTGCAGACCTATAATCCTAACAATGTGGGAGGTGGGGGTGGGAGAATTGCTTGAGGCCAGGAGTTCCAGTATAATCTGACAAAGAGCAAGACCCTATCTCTACAAAAAAACATGCCAGGCATGGTGGTGTGTGCCTGTAGTCCCAGCTACTTGGGAGGCTGGAGGAGGATCACTTGAACCCACGAGTTTTAGTGAGCTATAATGACACCACTGCACTTTACTTAAGGTGACAGCAAAACATTGTCTCAAAAAAAAAAAAAAAATATATATATATACACACACACACACACACACACACATAATTTTATTTATTTATTTATTTATTTATTTTTTGAGACAGAGCCTCAAGCTGTCCCCCTGGGTAGAGTGCCGTGGCATTACAGCTCACAGCAACC